AGTTGACTCCTATTAGAACGTTCATCTTCATAAATTAATATAAATTTAGAGATAGGGTGGTATAATGACCTTATTTGGCTTCACTAAGGTAAAAAATGGGTTCAAAATGGTCGAAAACCTAGGAAACGGTATATTACATGTCTATACCAAGCTGAAGGACGCATCCGCATGCGCAATGTGTGTCGTTGTAGGGGAGGATGCGCGTATCGGTTGGCGTTCCGGGTCGAGGCATGGACTCCGGGTCGTGTCCTCAGGTGCGGGTTGTGAGGCTGGGCCATGAGGGAACGCGTGTTTGGCCGTCTGTTTACTAGGTCGAAGGGCCGTCAATTTATTGTGTGACACGTGTCACCTTCGAGAGGCGATGCGTCGTGGACTACGAAATGGACACGCGTGTTGGGTCGTCGAATTTAATGGGTCGAAGGGGTATGTCTCTATGAGTGTGGTGTCTGCTTGAATGACACATGGGTCATCGAATTTAATTTAATGGGCCATGTGCATGAGTGACACATGTCATGTTGGGCCGTTAGATTTATTGGACCGAAGGGATATGGGTCGTCTGCATGAGTGACACATATCGTGTTGGGCCGTCAGATTTAATGGTTTGCGAGTATCCGGTTTAGGTCTGACGGATCCTTTCATCTTCGACCGAATTCATATGCGATTTTCAATGATTTTCTCTCTTCTTCCCACGACATTTCCGACATCATCTCTCTTCCTTTTTCTCTCGCTATCCCTCTATCGACTTCTCCTCCTCTCTCTCACGAAGTTTCATAGTTGTTGGAAGTCCATGGAAGGACGACGACTAAGCGGTGTGTGTTCGTTTGTGACGGATGTATTTAGGCTTGTGGTCACATTATGTTTAACCTAATGCTGCCGTGACGATTACTAATTCTTACAAGTGTTTGGCCTAAATAGCTCCCAGAGTATGCTCACACAACAAGGAAAGTGACCCAGTGGTGTGCGAACTGACTGGTTAGTCCATACTCGCACATATCAACTGTGTGTAGAGTAGTATATGGTACATATCAAAGTTACCGACTAGGATAGTACCGTAGGAAAATCGATTGAAAGGATAGGTCCAGTCATTGCAATTGCATGTTCTTGCATTTAAACCCCCCATAGTGGGGTCACTTACTGAGTATTTATTTAAATACTCAAGTCACGTGGAACTTCTATTTCAGGTTAAGGAAAGGCATTATGGTACGAATGACAACGGCGTCGCAACTCGAGACCATGACACATGCATTGGGTAGTCGTATTTATTTTCATAGACTTTGGCTAGCTAGAACATGATGTTTTTAATTTAAACGTTTATTTAGTCTTTTGTTGTGTCGTCTTTTAAAGGTGATTTCAAAACACGTAAGTCCATGGCTGCATTCAATGTTAATGATATGTATATATTAGCGACCTTAAATTAACTAGAAAAATTTCGGTCGATACAGTTTTAATAGACAACATCTACCTATCATGCATTTTCTAAGCATTTTGTAACGACCCGAAATTTTCTACTTAATTTAAGGTTGCTACTGTATACATATCATAAACATTGAACGTGGAAATACTTCATTTAAACTTTCATAAAACATAACCTTCAGCTTAAAACACAGCCATGGACTTACGTGTTTTGAAAACACTTTTAAAAACGACACAACAAAAGATAAAATAAAATAAATAAACATTTAAATTAAAAACATCCTAATCTAGCTAAGTCTACGAAAATAATACGACCACCCTATGAATGTGTCATGGTCTCGAGTTGCGATGTCGTCGTCAGCAGTACAGGAATGTCTTGCCTTAACCTGAAATAGAGGTAGCACATTACTTGAGTATTTTTAGAAATACTCAGTAAGTGACCCCACTGAGGTTAAATGCATGACTATGTGAATGCAATGGTGAGACTTATCATATTAGTCTCTTTTCCTACGACACTATCCTAATGGGCAGCTTGGATGTGTACTATATACTCTACATACAACCCATACTTGTGAGTATGGGCTCACAAGACATTTCACACACCGCAGGACCCCTTTTCTTGTCGGCCTGCCTGCTCTGGTAGCTTCCCATGCTGGACATCCATTAGAATTAGTAACCGTCACGGCAGCATTATGTAAAACATAATGTTACTTCACCTGCATAATGGTGTACGCGTTCGTACCCTCGTGATGGAATAGGTGTATCCCCCAAGGCATGAGCACATATAATGCATGAGGTACCAATATTTTTCCATTGTCATTATTATTCAATATAACCCCGCCAGCGTTCCTTAAATATCATATCATTTTTCATATCATTTCACATATCGTTTATCATTCATATCATATTATTTCTCATTTTTCAGTTCTCATATCATACATAACTCTAACAGGATTATATTTCATGCCATTTATCGTGATTTCATGTCATTCATATCATGTTGTATACATAAAATTTAAAAGACATAACGTCACGTTCCGAACATCTAACATAACATCTCCTCATATATCATATCATAAACATATTAATTTATCACACATCTCATACCATAACATCTTTCATAACACTTTCATATCAAATCACAACATATATATATATATATATATGTATGTATGCATGTATCTCTCGTTCACATTTCATGTCATTCATATCATGTTGTATACATAAAATTTAAAAGACATAACGTCACGTTCCGAACATCTAACATAACATCTCCTCATATATCATATCATAAACATATTAATTTATCACACATCTCATACCATAACATCTTTCATAACACTTTCATATTCATATCATAAACATATTAATTTATCACACATCTCATACCATAACATCTTTCATAACACTTTCATATCAAATCACAACATATATATATATATATATATGTATGTATGCATGTATCTCTCGTTCACATTTCATGTCATTCATATCATGTTGTATACATAAAATTTAAAAGACATAACGTCACGTTCCGAACATCTAACATAACATCTCCTCATATATCATATCATAAACATATTAATTTATCACACATCTCATACCATAACATCTTTCATAACACTTTCATATCAAATCACAACATATATATATATATATATATGTATGTATGCATGTATCTCTCGTTCACATGTCATATCATATCGCAAAAACTTCGTGGTCATATCGTTCCCTAACTTATCATAGCCTTAGCGTTCCTTTACATCTTACAGTCATATCCTTTACATATATATATGTATATATCCCTCGTTCACATGTCATATCATAATCATGTCATATGAACGTATTCTAACACTATTGTTTTAACAATATATCATAATCTTATCCCTTTTTACCCATAACCTAACCATATTCTTTTATCAATCGATCGTGACCATATCGTTTTTATCAATGTGTCGTATATATAGCACTTCGATAGGTAACCTAACTAGACGTTTCATGAACTTGTCTTACTCCTATCATTACTTTACATTCAGTGCATCCTTCTCGAATCCTATCTCAACAATATCATTGAAAATATTGTACCGTAAGTATTATCATACAATTCACATATTATAACATATACATAACATATTATAAGCATATCGATCCACAAACAATTTACACATATCAATATATATGATACGTGCAGAACCAAAGTAATGTATCAACCTCAAATATAACCATGTCGATAGTAAGGCCAGTTACGTGATTAGCTTAAGTAGTGTCACCAATTTATCCTTAACAAGAGTTCGATTTTTGTTCTTTGTATCCAAGTCAACCTATGTGGACCCATGACATCAATTTCAAGTTCAATTATCTATATAAGAGACTTTGTTTTTATAATCTATTTTTTTCTTGGTTTATTTGTTTATTTTTTTGGGCTATTACATATACAAGAATTTTAACCACCATATTCAATCAAAGCTTATTAAATATTTAGTCATCTTTAAATCAATTTGAAAAGTATGAAAAGTGTGTCAATTAACGGGGTCCTACATAATTGGGTATCTAAATGTGAAGATTTTTATCTAAATTTGTCCGGATATGAAAGGATTCTTAAAGCACAAAGGTGACCCAAACAACAAGTTAAAAATTTTGGCAAAGTAAAACAACATATGTAAAGCATAGGTACATACATACATTTATTTATATGTATATATGTATTTATATTTAAATTATATCAAAATCGAGTTTATACACAAATTTTAGATGAAAACCGAGGGTAAATTCCAATTTTTATTTAAAATTTTAAAGGATTATATTTTTGAAATGTTGTCTTAGAAATCAAAAGTACTATTAATTTTAAAAACTATACTCATGGGTTACCAAGAATATGTTTTATGCTATAATTCTTTTTTAATATATTTTAGATCTATTTTATACTTTTTCAATATATTTTTAGGGGAAGAAACTATTAATTTTTTATAATATTAGAAATAAGAAAATAACTATATCGAAAATATTTTTAGCATATGCTTTTGGGGAGATTAAATTTTTTGATATGTTTCTAAGAACTATATTACAAAAAAGAAAAATATGGTTAAGGGAGTGAGAAATGTAATACTTACCGATAAAAACAAAAAAACAAAAAGGTAACATGCACGTTTAGAATTAAAATTAGATGGAAATATTTTAATTAGATTCTAAATTAGAATATTTTCCTTCCAGAATTAAAATTAATGTTGGTTGAAATTTTTCTAAAATAAATTAGATTGAAATGGTTAGATATATTTCTTTTAGGGCATAATTAATTTTCAAAAGTTATTTGTTACAAATAAATTAGGAAAACTCAACCATAAAAATATCATTTATTAATACATTTCTAAATTAGTTGTTCACCAAAGTTTATATAAAGTTGTGATTTCATTGTGTGAAGGCAAAATCAGCTTGCTTAAAAATGTCAATATGGTTTATGTCTTCTTGTTGATCTCTCTTGTTGCTATTTTGTCCAATCTCAATGCTCTTGAGGCAAAATGGGATGAGAGTGGCAATGTGATTTAATTGGGTCTCAAAAGGCGTGTCCCAACTGGACCAAATCCAACAACATGTCCCGAAACGCCTCCATTGGGTTTGGGACCAAGAGGCATGTCCCAATTGGCCCAAATCCACCAACATCTCCTGAAAGCCCTCCCGTAAATTTTGGCACCAAGAGGCGTGTCCCAATAGGACCAAATCCAGCAACATCTCTCGAAATTCCTCCATTGGGTTTAAGGGCTAAGAGGCATGTCCCAACTAGCCCAAATCCAAAAACATCTCCGGAAAGCCCTCGCTTAAATTTAGGCACGAAGAGGCGTGTCCCAACTGGACCAAATCGAGCAACATCTCCCAAAACGCCTCCATTGGGTCTAGGAACTAAGAGGTGTGTCTCAACTGGCCCAAATCCAGCAACATCTCCTCAAAGCCCTCCGTCAAGTTTAGGGACCAAGAGGCGTGTCCCAAAAGGACCAAATCCAGCAACATCTTCAGAAAGCCCTCCCTTAAATTTAGTCACCAAGAGACGTGTCCCAACTAGACCAAATCTAGCAACATCTCCCGAAACGCCTCCATTGGGTTTAGAGACCAAAAGGCGTGTACCAACTGGCCCAAATCAACCAACATCTCCTAAAAGGCCTCCCTTAAATTTAGGAACCAAGAAGCTTGTCCCAACTGAACCAAATCCAACAACACCTCCCGAAACGCCTCCATTGGGTTTACGGACCAAGAGGCGTGTCCCAACTGGCCCAAATCCAGCAACATCTCCTGAAAGCCCTCTCTAAAGTTTAGGCACCAAGAGGAGTGTCCCAACCGGACCAAATATAGTAACATCTCCCGAAACGCCTCCATTGGGTCTAGGCATTAAGAGGTGTGTACCAACTGGCTCTAAACCAGCAACATCTCCTCAAAGCCCTCCATCAAGTTTAGGGATCAAGAGGCGTGTCCTAACAGGACCAAATCCAGCGACATCTCTAGAAACGCCTCCATTGGGTCTAGGGGCTAAGAGACGTGTCCCAACTGGCCCAAATCTAGCAACATCTTCTGAAAGCCCTCCTTTAAATTTAGTCACCAAGAGGCGTGTCCCAACTAGACCAAATCAAGCAACATCTCTCGAAACGCCTCCATTGGGTTTAGGGACCAAGAGGCGTGTACCAATTGGCCTAAATCCAGCAACATCTCCTGAAAGGCCTCCCTTAAATTTAGGCACCAAGAGGCGTGTCCCAACTTGACCAAATCCTACAACATCTCTCGAAACACCTCAATTGGGTCTAGGCACTAAGAGGCGTGTCCCAACTGGCCAAAATCTAGCAACATCTCCTGAAAGCCCTCCCTCAAGTTTAGGCACTAAGAGGAGTGTCTCAACTGGACAAAATCCAGTAACATCTCCCGAATCGCCTCCATTGGGTCTAGGCATTAAGAGGAGTGTACCAACTGGCCCTAATATAGCAACATCTCCTGAAAGTCCTCCATTAAATTTATTATGAGGCCTCGTGATAGTAGCAAGTTTAATTAGGGTCTCTAAAGATGTATTATAATGAGGTCATTAATTTTCTTTCTTCTATATTGAGATGATCCACTTTATGACAAGGGACTCTAATAATGGGCATGAAAGACTATAATTTAGTCTTATAATCTTTTTAATCTAAAACTTTGATAATAAGATTTCTTTACCTTTTATTCAAAAGCTCTATTACACATGAATAGATCATTTTTATTTCTACATCATTGATTAACATTATATAATTTAACAATCATGGACATAAATATGAAAATTTCTATAAAATTTATGCAACTTTGAATATTTTCAAATGATATAATACATGTTAATTAGTGAGACTTTAGTCATTCTGCAAAAATTTAATGGGTCAAATAATTTGCATAATTTTAAATATGACAGCCTATAAATTACAATTTCTTAGATATTGGGACCTAATTTTTATTTTACATTCATATATAACTAATATATAATTTTTATATTGTATCATTATAGACATTTTAAATTAAATACGAAAAGAATTAGCGTTAAAAACTAATATAAATATGATAGATTTACTATTTTTAGTCTATTGATAAGATAAAAAGATGATAAACATATCCTTTACTTTTAAATTAGAGAAATAATTGTGTAGAAATTTGAACTTGAAACTAATGTCATGGGCTCACATAGGTTAACTTGGATTTCAAGGGAAAGAATCGAATTTTCATTAAGGATAAATTTCGTTACATCAGCCTAAGCTAATCAGGTAAGTGACTTTACTATCAGCATGATTATATTGGATGTTGACACGTGACATGTGGTTCTGCACGCGTCATATATATTGATATGTGCAAATTGTTTATCGATCGATATGCTTATGATTTGATATGTATACGTTATAATACGTGAATTGTATGATAATACTTATGGTACGATGTATTCAATGATATGTTTGAGATAGAATACGAGAAGAATGCACTAAACATAATGTAATGATAGAAGTAAGGTATGTTCATGAAACGTTAAGGTTAGGTTACGTATCGAAGTGTTATGGATATGAGAGATTCATAAAAACAATATTATCACAATCAATTGATGAAATAATATGGTTAGATTATGGGTAGAAAGGGATAGGATTCTGATAGAACGATAGAACGATAGCGTTAGGATACGCTCCTATAACGATATGACAAATGTACGTTCATGAAACGATATGATTGTGATAGATATAAGAAGGTTTAGGCTATAATAAGTTAGGTTAAGATATGACCACAAAGTGTTTATGATATGATACGATTATGAAATGCAAAACAACCTATTCTAATATATGACTAGGAATTTAAATATGTGACTACGCTATGCACGTGCTACAGTCTCTACTCGCGATGCCGTCGTCTTCCATACAAGTGCACCTGTTCTTTACCTTAAAAATGATGTGGCACACGACATGAGTATTTCGACGATTACTCAGTAAGTGGCCCCACAATAGGGGTAGGGGGTCATACAAATGCAAACACATGCAAACATGATTTAGGACCTATCTCTGACATCATAAGGGTCGCCTCTAGTCTTGGAAAAATTGGATGTGTAGTACTTCCCTACACACGACTCACACATGCGTGAATCCATAGGGCGCTCGCACACCCCTTGGACCCACTGTTCAAGCTAATCTGTAGCGACGTTTGGAGGTCGGTAGAACGCCATAGTGTCATGTGCCTCATGAACACCCTTATCATCATACTGTGTGCATTCACACTCATCATCATCACGCTCATCATCCTACTGTGCGTATTCACACTCATCATCATACTATGCGCGTTCGCACTCATCATCTCTAAGGAAAGAAGCCCTATGCTTATGAACATACAATATGCATGAGGTCCCTCTAAATTCATCATAATGTCTCATCTAACAAAACCCTTCAGTCTCATCTCCTTATTACTAAAGGTAACACACACTCGTGGATATTTTTGTTGAAAATAAGACTCGCTCTGATACCAATTTAATGAAAATAACACTCACGAAGCTGTGAGGGAGATGTCGAGAGGGGAGAGACAAGGAGACAAAGAATTCTGAAAATACCCTTTTTCTATTACACTTTTCTTAAATGAGACAACTCTGGTTGCTCTACTTGCTCTACATTTCACCATGGAAAACAACCTAATTTATAGGTTTTCCAAAGGCTAAAATTGTCTATCCCATATGTCATCATTTTCTACCCCATTTCTAATCAGTTATTGGTCTTTCATTTTCGTTTTGACCTTCTTTTTTTCCAACCGCTAAATTTCAAAACTTACTAAAATTAACAAAAAAAAAATTAAAAAATTAAAAAATTAAAATTAAAACTACCTTTTTCATTTGCGGTTATTCTCAACAAAACTCCCCCATAAATTTAAATGATTCTGACATCTGTCTTGCTCATCATCTTCTTGTATTTGTCGAAAACTACCTTTGACGCATCTTCAAATGACACATGACCATCTTCAATCTTCTACATCTGTTTGAATAGGTGCTCGTGACCGCACATATGGTCTCTTTCCCTTAGTCGAGGTACCACAGAGTGTCGTTGTTGATGTTCTCTTCATCTTGAGCCATCAAGAGAAGACCTTCATCTGTTACGTCTTCCAAGGCTAGGTTGGTTGCTCCTTCAACCCTTTTTTCGGCTCGACAGGCTTTTGCAACGTGCCCCATTCTGTTAGTTTATTTTATCCTGTATTAACCGTAATTCATTTGTATTTACTGTTTGTATTTTAAATTATGTCAGTTTTAGTATTTGTGGATAGGATCAAGGGAAGTTATTAGCAGTTATTAATGTGTGGCTAAGATTGTAAGAAGTTAGTTTTTTTCTGTCTATATATGTACTGTGTAACAAGTTAAATAAAACAAGTAAGTTGGTTTTGTTTATTTTCTAAGTATTGTCTCTCTTAGAGAATAACGTTATTGTGCAAAAATCACCTTCTTGTAGGGGTGTTTCTGTCATTTGGTATCAAAGCGTGGTTACATGCCAAAGATCATGCCGAGAAATAATAACAACACTAGAGAGAGAGGAGATTCGTCGAAGTGTTCAACAAAGGAAGGTCTGGTATCACTCCAATACCCGACATTATCGAGAACCAACTACTCAACATGGGCTATGAAGATGAAGGTCTATTTGCGTGCTCAAGGGGTGTGGGACGCAAGCGTTTCAACTGAGTCTGCGATAGTCTTGATGAAAGGAAGGATCAAATGGTCTTAGCAGCTATCTATCAAGCAATCCTTGAGGAGATGTTGTTTTTGTTAGCAGAGAAAGAGACAGGAAAAGAAGTATGGCAGACGTTAAAAACTATTCATGTCGGTGCTGAACGTGTAAAGGAGGCAAAGATCCAAACTCTGAAGATTGAGTTCGAAATTATGAATATGAAGGAGTCCGAGACTACTGATGATTATGCAGCAAGGTTGACAGGAGTTGTTAATAAAATACGTACTTTTGGAGACAAGTTTGAAGAGGCATACTTGGTGAAAAAATTTCTCCGTTCAGTACCTTCTAAGTTTCTTCATATCACATCGACAATAGAGCAATTTGCCGATTTAAAGGTGATAACCATGGAGGAAGTCATCGGCCGTCTTAAAGCATACGAGGAACGGATCGGTGGCAACAAAAAGAATGCTGAAATTGTCTTATTGACTCAAGGAGAATGGAAAGCAAAAGAATCAAAAGGCAAAGGTGAAAGTTCAACGTTCGAGAAAAAACGTAGCGACAATGGAGTTCATAGCCGAGGGCGAGGTCGTAGTGATCGCTGGAGAGGGAGAGGTCATGGACGTGGAAATGACTCGTTATATCAAGAGAAGAAGGGTGACAAGAGCAAGGTAAAATGTTACAATTGTCAAGGCCTAGGCCACTATACCTCAGAATGTTGGAAGGTGAAGTGTTATAATTGTCAAAAGATTGGCCATTATGCATCCCACAGTAGATCGAAGAAAAGGGAGGATCAGGCACACTTGACTGAGATGCAAGGTGATGAGGATGAGCCAGCCTTACTTACAACACAAGTTTGTGAAGTCCGAACTCTCAGTTCACTAGAATTGACGGAGATGACTCTTTATGAAGAAAAGGTTGTCCCAGAAGAAATTGAGAAGAAAAACAACACTTGGTTTCTAGATACGGGAGCTAGCAATCATATGACTGGTTGTCGAAGTTGATTCTCGGAATTGAACGAGTCAGTGACCGGCACAGTGAAGTTCGGAGATGGATCACTTGTAGAGATACGTGGAGATGTGATGCTGCAATGTAAAAATGGAGATCACTGTATCCTTTCCGATGTATATTTCATTCCTAAACTTAAAAGTAACATTATAAGTTTAGGACAATTGGACGAACAGGGCTGTAAAGTTGAGATCGAACATGGTTTACTTGTTATTTTCACAAAGGCAAAGGAGTTCTTGGAAAAAGTGAAGCGGTCAAGAAATAGGCTATATACAATTAGCCTAAAAACAACGAAACCAACATGTCTACTTGGTAAGTTGCTTAAGATTCTTGGTTGTGGCATGCTAGATATGAGCATTTGAATTTTGAGGCTTTAAGAAACCTGTCTACGAAACAAATGGTGAAAGGAATTCCGCATGTTGAAAGTATAAACAAGTTTGTGATAGTTGTGTAATCACTAAACAACGAAGAACACCATTCCCACAACAAGCGAATTTTTTGGCCGTTAGTGTTCTACAATTGGTGCATGGCGATTTGTGTGGTCCAATTACTCCAACAACTCATGGAGATAATAAATTCTTTTTTCTATTGGTAGATGATTTTAGTAGATATATGTGGATTGAATTGCTCAAAAATAAATCTGATGCATTATTGGGATTCAAACGTGTAAAAAATAAAATTGAAACTGAATCCAGAAAGAAATTGCAAGCGCTTAGAACTGATAGAGGTGGAGAAATTTACAAGTATTGAGTTCAAAGAATATTGTGAGAGTAGTGGGATTAAAAGATATTTAACAGCACCCTATTCTCCGCAACAAAATAGTGTGGTTGAACGACGAAACCAAATTGTTATTGCAATGGTGCGAAGCATGTTGAAGTGCAAAAATTTGCCGATGTATTTCTGGGCAGAAGCGGTGAAGACAGCTGTCTACATCCTTAATAGATCCCCAACGAAGAGTGTAATTGAAGCAACTCCTTATGAGAAATGGAGAAGAAGAAAGCCTAATGTAGAGCATTTTAGAGTGTTCGGAAGCCTGACGTATGCAAGACATACTACACCAAATTTAACCAAATTACAAGACCGAAGTGTGCCAATGATTTTCGTGGGATATGAAGTAGGTTCAAAAGGTTATCGTTTGTATGATCCTAAAGCGAAAAGACTTCATATCAGCCGAGACGTCAAGTTTCTAGAAGAAGAAGAATATAAATGGGATGTGCAGCAATTTGAAGAAAATAAGGAAGGTGGTAAATTCGCTGTTCATTATGATCCACAGGTCTATGTGAATGAAGAGGACATTTTAGAAGAGCGGGGAGAATCGTCAGGGACTCTATTGGGAGACAATTCATCACCAACAAATGATTTATCACCAGGAGACAATTCATCACCAGGAGACGATTCATACGTCTCATCTAGTCCAAGAAAATTTCGATCGTAAAGTGAAATTTACTCTAATTATATTGAGTTGAATGAAGAAGCTGGGATGTGTTTTCTTTCACTTGAGGAGCCAAATTCATATATGGAAGCAAGAGATAATGAGAAATGGCAGCAAGCAATGCTAGAAGAGTTGTCTCTTGGAAGCAAGAGATAATGAGAAATGACAACAAGCAATGCTAGAAGAGTTGTCTCTTAGAAGCCAAATTCATATAGGCGTGTTCCAACAGGACCAAATCCAGCGACATCTCCCGAAATGCCTCCATTGGGGCTAGGGGCTAAGAGACGTGTCCTAACTGGCTCAAATCCAGCAACATCTCTTGAAAGCCCTCCCTTAAATTTAGTCACCAAGAGGCATGTCCCAACTGGACCAAATCCAGCAACATCTCCCGAAACGCCTCCATTGGGTTTAGGGACCAAGGGGCGTGTACCAACTGGCCCAAATCTAGCAACATCTCCTGAAAGACGTCCCTTAAATTTAGGCACCAAGAGGCGTGTCCCAACTGGACCAATTCCAGCAACACCTCCGGAAACACCGCCATTCGATTTAGGAACCAAGAGGCGTGCCCCAACTGGCCCAAATCCAGCAACATCTCTTGAAAGCTCTCTCTCAAGTTTAGGCACCAAGAGGCGTGCACCAACTGGTCCTAATCCAGCAACATCTCCTGAAAGTCCTCCATTAAATTTATTATGAGGCCTCGTGATAGTAGCAAGCGGTCTCTAAAGATGTATTATAATGAGGTCATTAATTTTCTATCTTTTATCTAATGAGATGATCCACCTTTATGACAACGCTCTCTAATAATCGACCTGAAATAGAATAATTTAGTCTTAGAATCTTTTTAGTCTAGAACTTTGATAATAAGATTTCTTTACCTTTTACTCAAAAGCTCTATTACCTATGAACACATAATTTGTTATTTCTACATCATTGGTTAACAATATATAATTTAACAATCATGGACATAAATATGAGAGTTTCTATAAAATTTATGCGATTTTGAATATTTTCAAATGATATAATACATGTTAATTAGTGAGACTTTAGTCATTCTGCAAAAATTTAATGGGTCGAATAATTTGCATAATTTTAAATATGATAGCCTATAAATTACAATTTTTGAGATATTCTGACGTAATTTTTATTTTACATTCATATATTACTAATATATAATTTTATATTGTACCATTATAGACATTTTAAATTAAATACGAAAGGAATTATCGATAGAAACAAAATTAAATACGATAAATTTAATATTTTTAGTCTATTGATAAGATAAAAAAGATGATAAACATATCAATTACATTTACAAGTGATATATGAGGATAAAAAAAATTAGATGTAGTAGATTTTTCGTTTGGAGAGGTTTGATGATAGAGGAGTGGTTTTCTTAATTTTATTGTCACTTGCCATCAAACAAATAGTATTGTATGTTCATTTATTTAGTTATGATTAAAATTCGATAATTTAACGATAACTCATCGATAAAAATTCTTTTTAATTTGTTTTTTTATAAAATTGCATAATTTAATATTGTTTTTTTAATAGCCCAAAAAAATAAATAATAATTAACAAAAATGGTAACTCATCCCTCTCTCTCCACCCATTTCTCACATCTCCTTTCCCAAATATCTCTCTTCAAAACTTACTCCCTAGAATGATTAGTAATTCTGTCATACATAAAAAGAAAAAAAAAAGGTGTAAGCAGATTTAGCTATATAAGACAAAAACAAACAAAAAGATTCAGATTTAGTTTAGGCGTATGTCATGAGGTCAAGAGTCTTCCTTATATTTGATTGAATGATATTAATTTGGTTACAATTAATTAGTTTATTTTAATGAACTATATCTAAAAATGTTAAAGGTATTAATTAGTTTATTTTAGTATCTTTTTTGCTTCACCAATTTTCATGTACTCGAGAGGTTGTTCGAGGTATACTTCTTCTTAAAGCACACCATTCAAGAGTACTGACTTGACATCCATTTGAAAAATCGGCCATTTGAATTGAGCTGCTTGGGAAATGAGCAATCGGATTGTTTCTATTCTATTGATGGGAGCAAACACTTCGTCATAGTCAATTCCCGTCTTTTGCTTGTATCTCTTCGCAACAAGTCGCGCCTTGTACCGCTCAATCTCCCCCTGAGCATTCATCTTTTTCTTGAATACCCACTTCACACCTATTGGCTGACTTCCTTCCGGTAATTATGTCATATCTCATGTGTTGTTGCGATGAGTCGCTTTAATTTCCTCATCCATGGCAGTTTGCCACTTCGTGTCTCGCACCGCCTTTTCGAAGCTGATTTTTTCAGCATCTGCCAGAAGACATACAAGGTGTACCTCATTTGTTGAGTCATACAAATCTCGCAAACTTTGCATTTGGGTTTTCGTGGTTCATCTTCATCATTGGAAATTTTGAGTCTGTTGGTGCACTTGTTGGTGCATCGATTGATGATTCTCCAACTTCGATATTGACTTCCGTCGAATTGTTCCAACCCCATTCGCTTGCTTCATTTACTTGCACATCACGAATCACTATCACCATCCTGTTAATCAGGCCAAGTAGTTTGTATCCTTTTGTCTTCTCATCATATCCAATAAAGATATACCTTTTGCTTTGGTCTTCGAGCTTCGTTCTTCGTGATCCGGTACGTGAGCATAAGCCACACTACCGAATACTTTGAGATGAGAGATTGTAGGCTTTTGTCCTCTCCAAGCCTCTCATGGTGTTTGATCATCTAACTTCGCACGTGGACATCGATACTGTTCGTAGATGGCGCATTTTGACTGCGGCTGGAGAGTGGCAACTGAATCTGTGCCACTTCCTACAAAATTGCCGTCTAAAACTTCGTTAATCCATTCGACGTGTTTGTCAAATGTTCAAACGGAGAATTAATGTAATCATGTGAATCTAAATAAGGAAAAACTCAGGTTTTATCTAACAAGGGATGTACGATGCGGTTTGAAATCGCCTTATGCCTTGCTTCTCATAGTACTCCATGAAAGCCATCAAAGTATACCCGCCACCTCTATCGGATCATACAGCTTTGATGTGTCTACCAGTTTCCTTCTCCACCATTCCTTTGAACTTTTTGAACACCTAGAATGCGTCGGATTTTCCTCTCAGAAAGTAATCCCAAGTTTTCCATGAGTAATCATTGATAAAGGAAATGAAATACCTCTTTCCACTGAAGAACTTGAGGGTAATTGGTCCACATATATCTATATGGATCAATTCGAGAGATTGTTTAGCCCAAAATTTAGCCTTCTTTTGAACTCAAATTCTCGCATGCTTGCACGCATTCTTCACAAATTTTTCCTTCAAAGTCCATGTTTGGTAACCCATGTACCATATTCTTCTTCGCTAACTCCTTTAGATCGCCATGATGTAGCTGACGAAAACGAAATACCATAGTGATGCCTTGTCTTCTACGTCGACTCGCAAACACTTTTCTCGTATGCTTTTTAAGTTTAATTTGTACATTCGATTTCTTCCTATCTTGACTCGAGCAACCAAACGCCCTTTCTTATCCTTCACGTGTAGCAGGCACTCCTAAAGAATA